ATGTTGCAGTATATCTTTGTAAGAATTCTTAATAGCTACTAAATTTAATTTTAGTAGTTGCTAATGTAGATTTGGTTTGTTTGGGTATGCTTTGAAAGCCCATTTTGAGTGTCTAAATATTTGATTTAAAGTTTATCTTTCTGACCAAAGGAGCAAGAGGTATAATGTATGATATGGCATTTGTTAAAATTGTTATTATGTAGAAAAACAATACTTTAGTATCAGTAATTAGTTTTAAAATGGTACTCCTAAATCATTAAAAATTGTTGGAAAGAGACCTTTAAAATCTTGTGGTCCTAAACATTATATGAATCAGAAAAAAAAATAAAATTTTTCCCAGCTTTGTGTTTGGTTTTTCAGCCCTTTTTCTGTATTACTTAATAGTAGAGCAGATGTCAAGTACTGATCAAGTATCAGATACTCACTAACAATTCCATTTTTAAAAAAGGAAATATTAAGAATTTTTAATTAGTGAAAGTTCTTTACAAAGCCAGTTGACCCTTGAGCAATACAGTGAGTAGGGATACTGACACTCCATCCCCCAGCACAGTAAAAAATCTGGGCTACCTTTTAACTCTCCCAAAAATGAAATACTGATAGCCTGCTGCTGACCAGAAGTTTTACCAATATATAGTCAATTAAAACATGTTTCATATGTTGCATGCATTATATACTGCACCCACATAAAAGCTGAATTTTCAATACAAGATCAAAAGGTATCTCATAAAAGTATAAAGTGTTCATGCCTGCTGATGCAGCTGTTGCAACAGCTTCATGAATTTCCTTTTACAATGGTCCTTAACATTGAATTCATTTATGGAATGGTGGACAAACATAGCTGCAGACCTCAACCTATGATACATATCAAACAGACGTTTTCTTTTAATGCCATGATTTTTCTGTGCTTCATGGAAACACTTCCAGCATCACCAGTGGCACTTCGTATGGTTCTATGGTGCTATTCAAACTTTACAGTATTGCACTAAATGCAATCAAAGATACTTGAGAGCTTGTTTTTATTTCAATACCCAGTTATGTGAAAGGTGAACTCTTGATGCAGGAATGATTGATGTCACATGGCATTTTTGAAAATTTGCATACTAGTGGACCCACACAGTTCAAATCTGTGCTATTCATTGGTCAAGTGTAGTTTCATGGGCTCAGAGAGGTACCTTGGTGGAGCTGTAGGATAAGCACTGGACTGCTTACTGCAAAGTTGGTGATTCAAACCCACAAGCTGCTCATCAAAAACCCTAAACAATGGCACACAACAACTATTATTGGCAAATAATATATTACCCTTTCTGGTCTCAACTGTAAAAGTTAACTACTACTATCCTCAGTATGGTAACATAGCCATCTCTTGGCAGGTGTTCCTTTGGCAACCTTATCCATCAGGAAATATCTAGGAACTCTGAAGCAAGTCTGTAAAGTAGAAAGTTATCAAGAGCCCGTCTCTCTTTCTTTCACCAAAACCTACTGCTGTGGAGTCTGTTCCAACTTACAGCAACCCTGTAAAACATAGTAGGACTGCTCTGTAGGGATTCCAGTGCTGTAATCTTTACAGAGTCAGACTGCCTCATCTTTTCTCCTGCAGAGTTACTGGTAGGTTCAAAACGTCATAGCAGCCCACAAGGCCAGCAGGACTCCTTACTCCACCCATCCTTCCCCAAAAGAAAAAGAAAATAACTTATTTTAAATTGTAGGAAATGGACAGAGCTACTACCTTTGAGACAGAATGTCATAGAAAATTACATACAATTAAGTTTTAACAGACTTATGAAAACAGAAACAACCAGAGAGGTAAAACATCTAGAACCTAAAATAATTTTAAGTTGGATCTGAGGTTACAGAAGCCACACTAAAATAAAACAGTTGCCACACTTAAAGGAGCCTGAGCTCATTATTTTATTATAATGGATTGTTTAATGTTTCTAGTGTTGACCTTGATATCTTCCCCAAAAGTTTGAATTTAGTACTAAGGGGTAGAATTTTACTTATGAGGCAAGGTATTTTAGGACCACTTTTTAAGAGAAAAAAAAAAAAAAAACTGCTTCATTTGAATAAGCTATTATTGTTTTAAAATATGAATGAAAAATTCACTTATATGGACCATATTTCTGATAATTGAAATAAAATGAGGTATTTGTGTTGTAGAAGATTTATGTTATGCATAAAAAGTGTTTAATCTTGGAAACTGCCTTGCTTGGAGTATAATGCAGTTTATAATGGTTCAGTCTGACCCAACATTGTCCTCTTGTCCAAATGAGCTAAGAACAGATTGTTAGTCTGAAGGCATATGTAAACGTATAATACTGCTACAGTTTATATGCTGTTGCCCATAACAATGTTCGCATCTTGAATTTTTATATGACATTTTCTAAGTCATAGTGATTTTAAATTGTGATTTCCAACATAATAGTGCATTAATATTTTTTAACCAGAACCAGCCACTTATTTGTGTACCCTTTGTCTCCCCCAGTTGTGTGTGTATATTGTTAATAGTATTATCACAGGTAGTCATCCTAATTAATGGTGATCCTCCAAAAAAATTATGGGACATGTTTGCTTCTGTTTCAATTGTAAAAGAATTGAAATTTCTATTAAAATCAGACTATAAACAGTGTTAAAAAGTAGGAAGATTTGTAAAATCTTATGAATCAATATAATCCCCTTAGTTCTAAAGTTTGTAAAACAATTTTGTGTATAATATATGTGTCTGTTTCAAAAAGTTCCCCAAACTTGGAGTTCTAAATTAGTAAAAGTTTACATTGACTTAAAATATGGAGTAGATATTTTTGTTTATTGTTTAAAATTTAGTTTATTTTTAAAATTTTTTATATGTGATAAAAAATTGAATAATGCTTCTACAACCTAATAAAATCACCAAAATACTTTTCATATTCAAAAAAAGAAATAATTGAGTATCTGAAAATTATTATTTGTCTTTTACATTTTTATTAATATATGTTTAATCATAGTCTTATGCTTTAGGGGATTGTGACACAATTGTTTTGAAAATAATACCTTACCTCCACACAATTCTTTCCTTGCAAGGCCGTCTGAAACATGTCTTAATAGAGTTAAAAATCACCCTCAGCCATTCTGTGCCCTGACATACCAGTTCTGTAAGCAAGGTAATGATTTTTAGGATTCTCTTTCAAAAACGGTTTCTTTAATTGAACCCTTGAGCCATGTATTACTTTTAAATTTCCCTTTAGTAACAAAATCACCAATGCTCTATTCTTCATTTATATCATTTTCTTACAATAGTTTGTGAATTCTAGAAACTTGTTCTCTTTGAGTATATTTCAGTAAACTTAATTCACTAAAGGCTAGACATTCATATACATTTTACTTCAAATTGTGATCTATTTTGAAAAAATTCCATTGTTAATATATTTTCTTGATAACAAACTGGTATAAAATTTAGACCTTATTGTTATTTGTGTATGGGAATTAATGGGTCTGAAAAGAAATGTTTAAAAGACTATTCCCTCTACAAGACATCATTTATTAAACCTGAAGCTTCTGGTCAGATGTCTGTCTTAATTCTTTATAAATGCTGAGGTTAAATTTGAAAATTAACTTAGGGAGACAATTTCACGAGGATTAGGATGGCAGTTGTATAATAATTCCATACTTTTTCTTTTTCAGAAAGATACAAGTTTTCCCCTGATATTTAATTTATCATTTCAAATACTTGGCAAAAAATTTTTTTTTCCAATTTCTTAAGCATCTCTTCTAAGTAGTTCAGTGGTATATTAATGCTTAGATATTATCTTACATTGAGTTCCCTAGAAAAGCAAAACCAGGGAAGCTTATGTATGTATATAGAGAGAGGCTTATACCAAAGAAATGGCTCACATCATTGTAGAGCTGGGCAAGTTCCAAGGCCTGTGGGTCAGTTATCAGATTCTCCCTAAGTGATGTAAGAGCTGATTGGCAGGTAAGATGGTAGGCTTCTGATAAACTCCCAGGATTGGCAGGATGCTGGCTCAAGTCCAAAGAATTGGAGGTCAAATGATCAGATGCAGGATCCAGACTCAATAAAAACCAAGCAAGTTTTGCTTTGAGTATTTTGTATACTGGAAGCAGACCACACCTCCAAGGAAACTGCATTTAAATTAATTGACAAAGCAGATCGTACCATGCAGGTGATTACATTATATTAGATTTAATCATAGAGATTACTATGTCTGTCTAAACTTCTGTGAATGCTAGATTAGTCAAGTGGACACAACCTTAACTATCACAAGTTCTAATATGAAAAATTCGAATGTATTTTGTAAAATATTTTAATTGAACTTCTAACTGGAGCATAGAAATGTGACTATTTGGAGGGAACGGGGAGTAAGGATTTCTACCAGTAATAATTTTGTTAAAT